CAGTGAAAACGATGGCAAAAATTCATGAATTGGGCTTCGAATTGCTTCCGCATCCACCGTATTCTCCAGATCTGGCCCCCAGCGACTACTTCCTGTTCTCAGATCTCAAAAGAATGCTCGTTGGGAAAAAATTTTCGTCGAATGAAGAGGTGATCGCCGAAACTGAGGCCTATTTTGAAGCAAAGGACAAATCGTACTACAAAAATGGTATATACTACCGATAACCCATTATTACTAGATGACAACAGTCAATTTGACCCTCTAACAGACCTTCGAACTGAACATATGAATTACGAAAAGAAAAACAAAATTATTCAATTATGTAAGCAATTTAAATCTATCTTTCATAAGGATCAATCGAGATTAACTGCAGTAACTAATGTCAAGCACAATATTAGGACGACCGACGATGACCCAGTTTATAAAAAATCGTTCAGATACCCTCAAAAACTAAAAGATTGAAATACAAAAACAAATTAAAAATCTTTTAAACGATAATATCATTAAACCGTCAATTTCCCCATACAGTTCACCGGTCTGGATTGTTCCCAAAAAAACGGACGCTTCCGGAAACAAGAAATGGCGATTGGTCATTGATTTTAGAGACCTTAATAAAAAAACAATCGAGGACAAGTACCCAATCCCTTGACGGTGTATTAGATTCATTAGGCAAATGTCAATACTATACCACTCTTGATTTAGCCTCGGGGTTTCATCAGATCGCACTAGACGAAAAAAGCATTGAAAAAACAGCCTTTTCAGTTGAAAACGGACACTTTGAGTATGTAAGATGTGCAAAATTCAAAATTACAAGCCTGTTAAACAAATAACACCCACACAGCAGATTAAAACAAGTAGTTTAAGACCACAACTTAATTTTTCTAATTTTAATAATGCAAATAGAATGAATGCATTTCCTACTATACCTGGACAAGTAATCCAACCGTTTATAAAACCCCAAACTCATCCTGTGTTCGTTCAACAACAAAGACAACAACCCCTAATAGCAGTGAGACCTACACATAATTTCCAAAATTTTAATCATCAAAATTACCCACGAAACAACGTCCTGAGCGGCGACGTTTCTATGAGGACCGTTTCTCGATTTGATAAACAACTAGTAGGACAAAATTACTTTCAATTTAGACCAGGACAAAAACCCACCTTTGTATCTCAAGAATTGACAAATTTAGAATCCGAACGACAATTCGACAATGACGAAGAACAAGCCGGATACGTTTATGACGAATTCGGAAACGCATATATACCAGTTAATAACATTGATAATAACTGAGCAAATGACTGAAAACGAAAATTTTGAAGTACAAGCCTCTACGAGCGACCAGATAATTTATTATAATAGAGATGGAACGATTAAATATTAAATTTAATAAACCAATTTACGTAGGATTTTGTATTCTTGACATTTCGAAAACTGTACTGTATGACTTTCATTATAATTACATTCAAAATAAATTTTCTAATTCTGCTAAACTTCTCTATACTGATACAGATTCACTCATATATCAATTCTTTGTCGATGATATATACCATCACATAAAATGTGATTTACATAAATTTGATACATCAGACTTTTCACAAGATAATGAATACAATATACCTTTAACGAATAAAAAAGTAATGGGTTTAATGAAAGATGAAAACAATGGTAAAATCTTTTCTGAATTCATTGGACTCAGATCGAAAATGTATGCAATCAGACTTTTTAACAAAGAAAATAATAATACAGATATTACGAAGAAAATTAAAGGAATAACAAAGGCAACAATTAGAGGAATCACTTTTGATGATTATTATAAATGTTTATTCTATAATCAAATCATAGAGGCCAATCAAAATTTAATTATTTCTAAAAAACATAACGTCTATACAGTCAAACAAAGAAAGGTCGCACTTAGCCCATATGATGACAAGAGAATAATAAATACTTTAACAACGGATACGTATCCATGGGGATATAAATAACGTTTAAAATAGACTGTTTTAAATATTCTACGTAATTACAAACACATTAATTACTACTTTTGTTTGTAAAAGTTTATTATTTATAATTTTACTAACAATAATGTTTTATTTTTAAAAGAAATTAGCATAGTTTTAAGTATTTTATATATTATTTAAGATGTTATTTATAATCGTTAGATGTTTTAAATATTCTACGTAATTACAAACACATTAATTACTACTTTTGTTTGTAAAAGTTTATTATTTATAATTTTACTAACAATAATGTTTTATTTTTAAAAGAAATTAGCATAGTTTTAAGTATTTTATATATTATTTAAGATGTTATTTATAATCGTTAGATGTTTTAAATATTCTACGTAATTACAAACACATTAATTACTACTTTTGTTTGTAAAAGTTTATTATTTATAATTTTACTAACAATAATGTTTTATTTTTAAAAGAAATTAGCATAGTTTTAAGTATTTTATATATTATTTAAGATGTTATTTATAATCGTTAGATGTTTTAAATATTCTACGTAATTACAAACACATTAATTACTACTTTTGTTTGTAAAAGTTTATTATTTATAATTTTACTAACAATAATGTTTTATTTTTAAAAGAAATTAGCATAGTTTTAAGTATTTTATATATTATTTAAGATGTTATTTATAATCGTTAGATGTTTTAAATATTCTACGTAATTACAAACACATTAATTACTACTTTTGTTTGTAAAAGTTTATTATTTATAATTTTACTAACAATAATGTTTTATTTTTAAAAGAAATTAGCATAGTTTTAAGTATTTTATATATTATTTAAGATGTTATTTATAATCGTTAGATGTTTTAAATATTCTACGTAATTACAAACACATTAATTACTACTTTTGTTTGTAAAAGTTTATTATTTATAATTTTACTAACAATAATGTTTTATTTTTAAAAGAAATTAGCATAGTTTTAAGTATTTTATATATTATTTAAGATGTTATTTATAATCGTTAGATGTTTTAAATATTCTACGTAATTACAAACACATTAATTACTACTTTTGTTTGTAAAAGTTTATTATTTATAATTTTACTAACAATAATGTTTTATTTTTAAAAGAAATTAGCATAGTTTTAAGTATTTTATATATTATTTAAGATGTTATTTATAATCGTTAGATGTTTTAAATATTCTACGTAATTACAAACACATTAATTACTACTTTTGTTTGTAAAAGTTTATTATTTATAATTTTACTAACAATAATGTTTTATTTTTAAAAGAAATTAGCATAGTTTTAAGTATTTTATATATTATTTAAGATGTTATTTATAATCGTTAGATGTTTTAAATATTCTACGTAATTACAAACACATTAATTACTACTTTTGTTTGTAAAAGTTTATTATTTATAATTTTACTAACAATAATGTTTTATTTTTAAAAGAAATTAGCATAGTTTTAAGTATTTTATATATTATTTAAGATGTTATTTATAATCGTTAGATGTTTTAAATATTCTACGTAATTACAAACACATTAATTACTACTTTTGTTTGTAAAAGTTTATTATTTATAATTTTACTAACAATAATGTTTTATTTTTAAAAGAAATTAGCATAGTTTTAAGTATTTTATATATTATTTAAGATGTTATTTATAATCGTTAGATGTTTTAAATATTCTACGTAATTACAAACACATTAATTACTACTTTTGTTTGTAAAAGTTTATTATTTATAATTTTACTAACAATAATGTTTTATTTTTAAAAGAAATTAGCATAGTTTTAAGTATTTTATATATTATTTAAGATGTTATTTATAATCGTTAGATGTTTTAAATATTCTACGTAATTACAAACACATTAATTACTACTTTTGTTTGTAAAAGTTTATTATTTATAATTTTACTAACAATAATGTTTTATTTTTAAAAGAAATTAGCATAGTTTTAAGTATTTTATATATTATTTAAGATGTTATTTATAATCGTTAGATGTTTTAAATATTCTACGTAATTACAAACACATTAATTACTACTTTTGTTTGTAAAAGTTTATTATTTATAATTTTACTAACAATAATGTTTTATTTTTAAAAGAAATTAGCATAGTTTTAAGTATTTTATATATTATTTAAGATGTTATTTATAATCGTTAGATGTTTTAAATATTCTACGTAATTACAAACACATTAATTACTACTTTTGTTTGTAAAAGTTTATTATTTATAATTTTACTAACAATAATGTTTTATTTTTAAAAGAAATTAGCATAGTTTTAAGTATTTTATATATTATTTAAGATGTTATTTATAATCGTTAGATGTTTTAAATATTCTACGTAATTACAAACACATTAATTACTACTTTTGTTTGTAAAAGTTTATTATTTATAATTTTACTAACAATAATGTTTTATTTNTGAGTATGTAAGAATGCCATTCGGGTTAAAAAACGCGCCCGCTACCTTCCAAAGAATGATGGACGAGGTGTTAAAAGAATTCCTATATAAGTTTTATTTCGTCTATATGGACGATATAGCCATATTTTCTAAAAGCCTACACGACCATCTTTTGCATCTAAAACTAGTTTTTTCCAAGTTACAGCAGGATAATCTCAAGGTTTCGTTAGATAAGTCAGAGTTTCTGAGAAAGGAAGTCCCTTTCCTCGGACATGTAATTACCATTTCAGGAATAAAACCGAATCCCGATAAGATTAAGTCAATTAACAATTTCCCAATACCTAAAACAACCAAAGAGTTAAAATCATTTCTGGGACTTTCTGGTTATTACCGGAAATTTATACGTAATTACGCTAAAATTGTGTTACCCCTAACTAGGTGTCTTAAGAAAAACTCAAAAATAGATGTAAACTATAAAGAATATGTTAATGCTATCAATCAGATAAAAGAGCTAATTAAAAACCCACCTATACTAGCCTATCCTGATTTCAATAAACAATTCCTCATTACAACTGACGCGTCGGATAAGGCCATTGGTTCCGTTATTTCTCAAGATCACCATTCCATAGCTTTTTACTCGAGAACCCTCAATAACGCCGAGAGAAACTATAGTACGATAGAAACAGAACTGCTGTCAATCATAGAAGGATGCAAAAATTTTCGACCATATATATTCGGCCGCAAGTTTCTATTACAGACTGATCATCAACCGTTAGTCTGGTTAAACTCTCTTAATGAACCCCAGAGTCGTTTAGCCAGATGGAAAATAAAGCTATCGGAATATGACTTTGAAATCAGGCACATAAAAGGTAAGGAAAATCATGTCGCGGATGTATTATCTCGTATAGAGATTAATGCGCTCGAAGACGATGAAATTGGAAACTTAGATCTCGAATCCATGTGCAATAATGCAGATCCACAAGAATTTGAACGACTAATTACTGACATAGACGAACAAGGAAATTTTAACAGTCCCAACGACAAAGATGACGACATGGTGACTATTCATTCAGCATAAGAAAACCCCATACCTAGTTTGACTATAACTGAACGTCCATTACAAACTTTTCAATTACAATTTATAATTAAACAAGGAAAAAGGAAGTTCACAACAAAAAATGCGAACTTAAGTAGAATCATATGTACGCTGACTTTAGAGGACCAAAATGCCCTTCCCTGGTTACAACACGTATTAGAAGACAATCAATTGAAAGTACCAAAACAAGTTAGAATTTTCTTTGATAAACAGTTTGATGAACATTTTCAATATGAAATATTTTTAATTCTATTTAACGAATTTCAACGCAAGCGTAATGACGTTAAAATTTTAAAAACTAACTTGAATCTATCCCCGCTTACCAAAGATAAAGCTCTCGAAAAAATTATTAATTACCATGAAGTAAACCACAATGGTATCGAAGAAACTTATCAACACTTTTCAAAAGAATTTTATTTTCCTAATCTTAAAAAATTAATCACATCTGTCATAAATAAGTGCGATACATGCAATAAAACTAAATATGACAGAAATCCCTATCGACCACCATATAAAGGACCAATGATTTCAACTAGACCATTCGAAAATATTTTAATGGATTTATTCACTTTAGATAGTCACAAATTTATTACTTTCTTTGATCATTTCAGCAAATATGCTCAGGCATACTACATTAGTGATTCAAACTTTACCACAGTCTTACGGAAATTGAGACACTTTATTAATCATCACAACATACCTGGTAAAATCATTACCGACCCAGGAGTTGAATTTAATAATACTCATTTTAGGAATTTTTGCAAACTGTATCATATAGATCTACACTTAGGTTCAATTAAAAATCCGACCACTATTGCTTCATTAGAAAGGTTACATTCCACATTAAAAGAAAAAGTTACGGCACTTAAGGAAATCAACCCAACCGAAAGCATTCCCGATTTAATGATACAGGCAATATTTATATATAATAATTCTTATCAGGGCACTACTAAGCTACGACCGTTTGAAATAATATATGGACCCTACAAAGACATTGGTGAAATGGAAGTAATTCAAATCAATACACCTACCGAATATATTGAAAAACGAATGAAAGAATTAAAGTTACTATATGATCAAATAACAAGTCCCTGCCAAGAAAAACAATTAAAGGCGTTAAATAAATTAAATCAAAACGTTAGGGATCTACCAAGTGAAAATTTACCTGCTAATATATATGTAGAAAATGAAAAACGCAATAAAGTATTACCAAGATATCAAAAGGTAAATGTTGTAGAACAGAAAGACACCCATATTGTAGGTATAGGACCAAATCATACTACCTTAAAGAAATACCCGAAGCGTAAAATAAAAAGAATTAAAAGAAATGTTTCCGTTGTTACAGATGTGGGTGTTCCTGCTGGTCCTTCCCTTAACAATAGGAATAGAAATAATTAAACTTGATAACGAGATCACTTACCTAGAAGAAACGCTAGGAAATGCATACAGCTTCTCTCACTATCATAATTTTGTATATAGTATCAATCTCACCTCTATTAAATTAACCTATCTGGACCTCTTAACTAAAAGTAGCATACTTAAA